TGGCTCGTCCTCTCTCTCGTGGCCCGCTAATCAACTTTCGTACGACACGAAACAGAGAGAAGGAGAAGATCGGTTCCTCTTCTTCTTCTTCTTCTTTGTTCTCGCGAATCCTTCGACCTCGTGACGCTTCGTCGATCCACTGTTCAATTATTCTCCTCGATCGTTCACGGCCGCCTGCGAGATAGTATGTTGCGGCAAGTTTAAGGGCCGGTTTCTAACGAGAAATTCATCGTCCAAGATATTCGTTGGAAGTGTGACAAAGTGAGACGATTGTTGTTTTGTTCTATCGTGGATCGATATATACAGTTCGTTGTAAGAGGAATAAGAGAAAAAAGAAGGGAATACGAGGTATATTATCCTGTGTGCGTTTACGTATAGTGTTGGTTGTTCGTTTTAGTAAACACAGAAAGTTTCATAGAGTCGCGAAAGTAGAGAGAGAGAGAGGAGAGTTGGTTGCGTTTCACGAAGCCGCTTTTAACGTTCGAAGCGACTAGAAAGGAAAATATACGCGCGTTCGACGGAGTGCAGTGTCCGCGACGACGAGGCGTCGACAGAGGATGTGCAGCACGTCGGTCTGGTGAAGCAGGCCCGGCCGATGTCTTCCGGGCGACGATCGCGTCACGGACGGGATGTGAGACGAGCCACGTGAATGTTGTACGCCGTTCAACCTTCCTTTCCGCCAGTCGAATTATTCTGGACCGGCATGGAGCCCGTCAAAGCCAAGTATGTACGCTTATTCGACGCTCCACGCGCATTTTTTTTTTTTTTCCTTTAACTTAGATTATCGGTTACTTTTGGTATTTTTTGTTTCTCTTCTTTTTTTTTGGAATTTTTTGTGGTTCCTCGAGACTGGAGTAACGATTAGGTGGATCGTCGACGATCGTTCCGGGGACGAGCAGTTTTGTAGAAAGCCGCGTTTTCACTGACACGGATTCGATTTTCATTTTTATTTCAGATTTGCTGCAATGCGTTTATTAGTTGAGCTTCGAAGGAGAGCTGATTTGTTTCGTTTGCGGAGAGTGTTCTGCGCGATTTTTAGTGCAAATTGAAACGAGGAATTAATTCGAGAGATTCGATTATTAATTATTTCGACGAGAGACTGTAAGATTCGGGGATCTGTGTAATTGAAATTGAAGGTAGAATTATATTTGGTAGGTTATTTTAAGCGAGATTCACTTCTCGGAATCGAAGGAGATTCTCGAATGATTCGCCTCTTTTCAAGCATTTTTCTTCTCGCACGTAGAACGATCGTTTCTGCGTCTTCAAAGAGGACTCTCTCGAATGATAAATGGCGCGAAAACGTGCCTCGTTATCCCTGCACCACCGCTCTTGACCTTCTCACAGATTTTCTCAACCGACTCACGTCCCCGGCAAGAAACTCGCCTCTGACCGATTTCCAAATTCGTTTTTGTACCATTGTTGATACAACGTTACCGTTCTATGCGCGGGCAACCGTGAAGCGCGATGAATGAAGCCGAGTTTACCAATAGAATGCCCGGCGAACTTCCTAAGAAGCGACGTTTTTTTCGCTTCTCGCCGATATTCGTAAATATTACGCGTTTCGAGAGGCACGCGTACAAGCGTGATTCACGGTGAAATATTTCAGGAATTCGACGGGAAATGTCGCTATTCGTCGCGTGAAAAAGCCTAACAGAGACGAGCTGTACGAATAGGCAGGAGAGAAAGCCATCTTCTTCGTTATTCGACGTTTCTCGTTAACCGGTAGTTTCGGTTCGTTTGGGCCATTGTCGGGGATTAAGCCTGTTTCACACTTGAGAAAAAATTGTTTCTTCGCTACTCTTTTGTTTTCCTAGATTTTCTGTCTTATTTCGCCTTATGCCTTTTTCGTACTGTTCCTTTGCAACACCTCTGTTCTGTTTCTTTATCGCGGCACGTGCCGTCAGACCAAGTGGAAATCCTCCATAGAGGTTATCGCTTCGCTGTCCGCCCACTCTTGATCCTTGGAGAGGTCACACGGTGGCGGAGGTGTAAAAAGTGGAATGTGTGTCAAATAGTTATACACGCATCCACGCGTTTTGCCGCGGACCACCTACGTTTGAAAATCAACGTTGTTGAAACGCGTAGTCGTAATTCGGGCTTAATGAGATTACACGTGTTGCAATTGTATTCTGTAGGAAACTCTGTCATCAGTTTGAATAAATCAGATCGAATAAATTTACCATCACGTTCACGTATCCGTGAGTGTGAATTGGGCTTAACGAGGCTGACTGCGTCTTCACGGTGCTCAGCTGTTTAGACGGCCGAGGCGAAGCGAAGGAAATCGAATCGAACAGCTAGTTTCAACGCACATTGTCAAAGTTACGCTTGTCCACGCTTGTGTTTTGGTTTTTTATTTGTGTAATACGGAGTGTCAGATTGAAACGTAATTTTCAATTTGATTCGCCCCTTGATATCGACATGGGTTGAATATTTCACACTCCAATCTTCCTCCGTGTATATTTCGAAAAATAACCTTCTTCCTTTAATAAAAATTCCCTTTTCGAAAACTGTCACGGAACGTGTTAACGAGAAGCGTACGAGTTTCAAATTAACACGAAGAAACTCGAACACTTTTCAGCGCTGAACTAATCACACGAGTGATCAATTTGCGAACGCTGAAATTCGACCTAACATCGGTAAAATGCAAAAGTTTCAATCTTCCCTTCTTACCGTACCTTTTCGCAAATACACAAAAAGGCGGGAAAATATTGAATTTAAAATAACGACACCAGCACGCTGAAAAAGAGACTGAAACTTCTGCCTAGCCCTAATACATAATCCATCACGTCTCGATTAGCATTCCGTTCTCAAAGGACACCCCCGTTCCATCCTTTCGCGACACTCAATTACGGCAAAGCAGCTCCGGTTTCATAAACACCGTATCAACGATGTCCAACGACAATGGCCGTTATTAACGATACTCAAACAGAGGCTCGATTCGACGTGCCATTTACCTTCCCCTTGGAGCATAAAGGCTCCGCTCGAATGCCATTTTCAATGCTGTCCATTATATCCAACCTCTCGTAGCTGTTCGTTCCCGCCTTTTACCATCCTTCTTCCCTACGCCCGCCAACTTATCCTTGGCTTCCTCGTATGTAAGTCGAGCCATTTTCTTCGAGCGTAAACCGAGACCCTGTGCCGATAATCGAAAGGAAGATATCGAAACGCAACAACGTCCAGCACGATTCGTGACAGTGGAAATTAAACAGGGGGGGGGGGGACCATTGGACGAGCATCGTGAACAATTGGGTCGGTTAATTTAAAGGGCGTTCAACGCGAGACATCTTGGCTGTCCGCGCAGAAATTAGGCTGCGACGAAGCGTGCAGCTTAGCGCGATGCGTTCTCCTTTCTGCCGTGTCTTTTTGCTCCTGAATGCAAATGGAGTTTGCAACGATGACGGGTTTGTAGTCGTTGCTTTTCTGTCATTTTTTCGTTCCCTTCTCGTGGAACGTCGAGTGTGTGACTATGTGGTATTGAGCGATCGCTGATGTGATAATTGTGGCTTTGATTAGATAGTGTCGCGTGTATAGCGAAGCTCAATTTTTGTTTAACCTCACGTTAGAACGACCGACCGGGTCCAAAATGACCCATTAACGAGAAGTGAACTTTTGTGCAATTGAAACGCGATTGAAAAATTAGATTTCTATCGATATAAGTGGAAGTATGCACGCGGAGGATAAAGTCAGTTCCAAATGATAATATTTATCATTATCGAACGCTGGAAAATTGCGAGGTTACGAAATTTGCTAACGGGTCAATTTTGACCCGGCCACTCGTTCTAGTGTTAAATTAACCCTTTCGGTGCGTCCAATTTTAGTACGTAACACGTGCGACAGACGATAAATATTCAGTTGCAGTCGCAAAATTTTTTCTCTCCACCGTATCGTTTAAAAATTCGTTCCACCAAATTAAAATGTAAGTGCACAAAGGATCGAATTAAGGAGAAAGTGCCCCAGCAGCGATGAAACGGCTAACAAACAAGCGTTCTATCGACGAAGAAGAATCTACGTGTTTAAATAACCGCGTAACAATTAGGTTATCTGATAAATTCGTGGCTGTCCGGCGTTTTGCAACGTTCCTGTGGGTGGACACGGAAATCCGGCCTGTGTTGCAAAAAAATACTTAGAAAGTGCTCACCTACTCGCGTGCCTGTCTTTCCGCTTTGCGGCTGTTGGAATATGGAACATCTGGATATCTCATGTCCTCTCGTACCGAAAAGGACATTATTCAAATTTTCGTTCGATCTTCTATTCGAACAGCAGCGAGCTTTCAAATTTCACCGAGAAAAATATATTAAAAAACTCATTTTCAGAAATCGCAGAGAAACATCGCTGCGCACAAATTTCCACAAATTATTCGCAACCAAGAATGCAACATAGTTGTCGCATTAACATCTTTCCACGTAACGGAAGTCGTTTCTCGAACGAACGCGCCCGCAATTCTCTCTCTACAGTGTTTTCACGTGCTCCCCCCCGAACAGATCCGAGAAAAACCAGGCGGAGAGAAAAAGGAATTAACGAAACGAAGTCGCGAAAGAGCCAAACGAACTGCATAATGCATAACGTGCAGTATCGCCGAAGGATAGAACGGATGGAAAAGTGTATTTCACCGGTGAACGGGGCAATATCGCTTCTTTCCATTTCCCTGTGTCCCTTTAATTCACGATTTTTTCTAATTGCATATCAAATTGCCTCGATAAATCATCGCCTTCGTCGTTTCTGTAGATAGCAGAATTTTTCATCTTCGCGCTTCTGTGTCTGTAATATCGGTTGATTACCATTTCCCTGCAGTTACAATGGATGCATAGGACGATATATCAAAGTCGTAACGATATTATATCGCGATATCACCTGGATCGATCGGGAATGGGGCCAACGCGAGTGCGAGAGAGATAGTTGCATCTACAGCTAAGATGCAGTTGCGTTACTACAGGCGTTGTGTGAAAGTTTCCCTATTCAAGCGAACGGCGAACGTAACATGGATGACATCATAAACCGGATCGTTTCGAATCTCGATCGCAGAAAATCGATTTCACTTCCGTGCATTATATTCTCTCGTCTAACTGTCTGTCTGTATTCTTTCGTAGTTCCAGTTAACCGGCTATAGACGGTCTATAGGTTCGATACGTCGAATGTGTGTACGGTGCTGTGCATTATGCAGGCCCTGAACAATTCAGATTGTATTTACCGATACGGTTAGTATCGACTGGCTATGTCTTGGCATATCGAGAGTATACGTAGTTCGATGGTTATAATAACTTTATTCAAAGCGTGTATCGCGTGAAATGCCAACCGTGATGCTCATCGTTGGGTACAGACGCCGGGGAATGGAAAAATGCGGCACAGGAAGTGTATAGGGAAACGTAGGCGTGTGTGTTTGCTTCGTGGGATATTGTAGGTGTCTGTGGGGATTTATTTTGTATTTTCTGGGTTTATTGTGGAATTTCTTGGAGTTGACGCTTTTCTAAGTGTGGAAGAGAGACGAATTTTTGTGGGTTGTAGGTTTTGGGTGTTTTTTTTTGTTTCAGTGAGAGGCGGGAATTAGGGAGTAAACTATTATGGTGAATGCTGAGACGCTGAGGAATCTCATTTTCGGTGAATGCTGGGGAATTTCACTTTTGAATTTTCTGTCGTTCACTCTTTCGAGTCTACAGATGAGATATCTCGCGTTTTTTCATTGGGACGTGAGAACAGGGACCAAACGATTATGGTGAACGCTGAGGAATCTCACTTTTGGTGAATGCTGAGGAATTTCACTTTTGAATTTTCTGTCGTTCACTCTTTCGTGTCTACAGATGAGATATCTCGCGTTTTTTCATTGGGACGTGAGAATAGGGACCAAACGATTATGGTGAACGCTGAGGAATCTCACTTTCGGTGAATGCTGAGGAATTTCACTTTTGAATTTTCTGTCGTTCACTCTTTCGCGTCTGTGTCAGTGAGAGGCGGGAATTAGGGAGTAAACTATTATGGTGAATGCTGAGACGCGGAGAAATCTTACTTTTGGTGAATGCTGAGGAATTTCACTTTTGAATTTTCTGTCGTTCACTCTTTCGAGTCTACAGATGAGATATCTCGCGTTTTTTCATTGGGACGTGAGAACAGGGACCAAACGATTATGGTGAACGCTGAGGAATCTCACTTTCGGTGAATGCTGAGGAATTTCACTTTTGAATTTTTATGGATAAGATATCTCGCGTTTTTTTATCGAGAGGCGAGAATTAGGGACTAAACTATTACGGCGAACACTGAGGAATCTCACTTTCGGTGATCGCTGAGGAATTTCACTTTCGAGTTTCATATCGTTCACTCTTTCACGTCTACGGAGGAGATATTTTGGGAACGAATATTTATGTATTTCACTCTCTCGATGAGATATCTCGCGTTCTTTCATTGGGATGTCAAAACAGGGACCAAACGATTGAGGAATCTCACCTTTGAGTATCTTATCGTTGACTCTTTCCGTCTATGGACGAAATATTTCGAGAAAAAATTTTTCACTTATCCCACTCTTTGGACGAGATATATCACCACTCGGTATCGTTCATTCGGCACTTTGGACGAGATATTTCATTTTTTCACTTTCCAACTTCTTATCCTATCCACGATCGAGATATTTCCTAAACAAATTTTCACCTACTCCACTTTTTGTACCATTAGACTCTCCAACTTTTTGATATCTCGCGTGTTTTATCATCGGGACACTAGACCAAGGACCGAACGATTGCAGCGAACGCTGAGGAATCTCACCTTTCCTGCCATTGGCCTTTATCCCTTCTCACAATCGAATTGAACTCCCTTTCGAATCGCAAATCTCGCATCTGTTATTACAGAGCAGTTGTGTGGATTGTAGCTACTAGAGTTTGCGGCTGGTGAATTAAAACGTGGTATTAAGTGAAATTGCTAGGAAAGCTGGCGCGCACGCGACGATCGTATCGCGATGCGGACTAACATAAGCCAGCACGTGCATAGGGAAATCGACTCGTTGCAGGTGGTTCCTCTAAATATGCGCTTTCGCGGCTAGATCGATACTTTATGTCGAGAAGCTTCGTTGCAACGTTGGCCCTTTCTTTAGTCTGCCGCGCCACCGACTTACACGTCCACCACTCCGAATGTCTCGATCTGTTATTCTAATACCTGCGTAAGTTTTTAGTCATTTTCCTCGACGATATTCGAATCTCTGTCAATTTTCATTCTGCAATTAGAAATTCTTGGGAAACATCGGTGATAAGGAAAGGAATATTTTAACTTCAATCCAAGTTCCCTCCAGACTAATACGACCATTTCTCAATCTAAACCCTAGAGCGGTCTTTTTTGACCCACCGCCTTTTTATATTTTCATTCATTTTTGCTGTTATCAAGTTTACGTTCCTAAACATTATTTTAAACGTTTACTGTCTAGGTTCATATATGTCGCGTTGGAAACGAAAATTCTTTCACATAAGGTCTTAGGTTCTTTTCGACCAAAAAGTCTTATGTGTACAGTCAGAACGAAGAACGCAGTAGGGTTAAAGAACCTTACTCTATCTGGAGAAAAATGTGATTTTTTTACCGTGACGAAGCGATGTCGAATCGTTGCTTGGCATCGATAGTGGCATACCGAAGAGTCGCTTGAAATTTACATTCCTATAATAGCTAAATATTGATCACACAATCTAATCTACTCTCTGATGTGAAACTACTGAACTCAGAAATGTCCCATTTTAAATGACAAAGATACCATAATTCTGCAGTCTATTTGTGCCAAAAAGAAAAATCAAACTTTGTAAAAAGGATATACTATAGGTCGGTACAAATTTAATATTCCTACCGGTGACATTTTAACATACTCACAGAGACTCAAGAC